TGCTGGTGCTGAGGACCTGATCGGAGATAAGATCGACGAGTTATTATCCCCATCCAGTCTACATGATATGGTCCCTACTATTATAAAGACCTCTACTACAGTCTATAATAAGGTAAGGACACGGTACAAGGGAGGTATAGAAGAGATAGGAGATCCTTCATGAGGTTTGGGGAAGCTCTAATATGTAGCTTAGCATTATAATTTGCTGTATGCAACAGACATTGGTTATTTGGACTTAACAATGTTGTTGGCATCGTTGATGAATGCCTTCAGGTTGTCAATAGAGCTAAGGAAGAAGGAGAGGAGATGCCTGAGAATGTGAAGTCCTATGTTCGGCGGGAATGTCTAATGAACTCGGCAAAGCAAGAGATAGTAGCAAGAGCGAGAAAGTGGCTGCAAGGTAATATACCTGTCATCGATCACTATCCTGGGAGGATCATGTGAGAGGTTGGTGAGTACGGAGTATATGCCTAATGAGGCGGATACTCAACTGTCGTTTTATGGAAGACATGCCTGAGGTTCGGATGGCTACAAAAGGTTGGCCAGGAACCTGAGCAAGGAGTAGACATTTGTAAATACTCCTTATTGTACGTTGTATATTCATACTCTTAGTATACTCTATTGATACTATATAGAGGCATGTTATAGGTCTTTGTATACACTGATAACCTGCTTGCTCGTAGGCATAATGTAGCCTAGGCTGCAGATATATGCTCCTCATACTGAACAATATGGATGCCTATCTTTGGGAGCGTATTCATTGTAATGCTGTTTTTTTGTTACCTCACATGGTGTAGGTAGGAGTAATAACTATCAGTTGTATTCTAGTCTCTATAGCAGCCTTGTAGCTGACTGCTTTCCTCTGGCTTCAGGTCGTAATCAGTCGTCTTCTACTGAAGGTGGGACGTATGCCAACCCTTTAGCATTGAAGCGCTCTCCGGTAGGTGTGCAGGAATGGTGATGTTCTCAAGGTGTGGTATTGGTTAGGTATGTGAGGTGGATGGCACACATCCACTTGATCGCCTCAGCTCGGCCACGATAGAGTCGTTGATGAGGAACGGCTGGGCTGTACAGGATGGGTATTAGGGGGATGTTCATGAGATGTGGCCGATTGTTGGTATTAAGTTGCGGTACCACCACTTGCTTTCTCGAGAATATTGGTGGGGATGGACCTATTCCGTATTTTTTCAACTCGACCTAAAGATATTATTAATATCAGATGGTAGTAAACTCAACCACTCGCGGTAGCCACTCTCGGCACTAAGTTGTTACTGACATTTTGTTGACCGTGTGTTCTCTGGATTGTTTTCATCCTGTTGGAATGATAAAAAATAGGTCCGTTACGCGTGCAACTTCACACCTTATCTATCTCAACTGAAGTTGACTTTCACAGATTTATATCTATGAAGGAGGTTGGTAAGATTCGTAAGGAGATCGAGTTGTTGGAGTTCGAGGGTCATTTTGACACTGTATATGGGCAGAATATGGTTGCTCTTCGAAACGATAAGATATGTTTCCCAAAATATAGAGGTAGTACACTGGTGGTATCTTAGGTTGCTGATGTGGGAGGTGGTCTAGTGGTGTTTTTCAGAGTTGGACGTGGAGACCTACGAGTGGCTGCGATGGTTAATCAGTGAGAGACTGCAAGACCTGCCTTTTGAGCTCAATGCGAAGTTATCGGGAGAGCACAAGACGCTTTTACAGATTTATACGCAGGTAGTAGCGGAATTCAATTGCAGTCGTGGTGGTTGCATAAATCTGTTTCATCGGTTGGCGCTCATTTAGCGCAGTGTATCTCGAGAGATGGTGCTATTATCCTAGTTTTATCTAGTCTTATTTGGTGAATGGTAGGAGCTCTGGTCCGACTCACGGTCGATCTCTATGAAACACTTTGTTGGCTTTGTTATCCTGGGGATATGTTGTTGTTGGCGGGCTAGTGATACTTTCAGCTTGTGCAGGTTCAAGTTGGTATCTATCCATCGAACAAGGGCTTCTATAAGAGGCATATGGATGGTGGGTATGGAGATAAGGATGTTGGCAGGACCTTTACTGCTGTTGTATTTATGAACTCTGAAGGGGACTATGTGGAGTAGTAACGGGGGCTCGGTGTTGGTAAGGCGTCTGCTGCTATGTGACGACGATAGGAGGAACGGCCGTGATAGACATACGTGAACATTGGACTTTCACCGGATTTACGCTGAGTGGTGCAAAACCTGATATTCGCGCTATGTAGTAGTCGTGGAATATATTTTTCACTAGTGTTTTTCATTTCACGGGTAAAATCCCATTGAAATGATCCTAACAATTCTGTAGGCAATATTTGATGCCCGAATATCTTGGATGGGAGCATCTGTTTTTATATCCTCAAGCGTGTTAGTGGTTATATTTCTCAGTGGGGGAGGGGACGGTGGAGAGCTCGCTCTGTATAGAGAAGGACCTAGTGATTCAGCCGAAGATGTAAGTTGACCTGTGGTTGGCTATAGTATGTGATACTCTGGTTGCTGTTTTTAAAACACGTATTGTTATGATTTTGGTAGTGGATTTTCTACTTGTTTGGTCGTAGGTAAGGATATCTCCAATGGGAGGTAGACTGGTGATCTACAAGGCTAGGGATGTGCCGCACGAGATACTGCCGACTTGTTGTTCTTCGGGAGGAAGACGAATAGCTGTTACTGCCTTCTTGACGGGACCGCAGATGAGTGATAAGTGATGATGCATATGGTGTTGAGTTGAATAGTAGGAATGGGGTTTTCTGGGAGTAGGTAGTCGTACAAGGTTGAGGGGAAGCAACCCTCCTGTTGTGGTGAAGTAGTTGAAGCCACTGGGAAGCAGATCACCCATCGCAAGAGTATTTCCGTGTTGTAATATATGTTCGTTCTCCTCAGCTGCTGAGCTCATGAGTTTCCACACAGATTATGGGAGTTTATGAACAACTTGGTGTCGGAGTCCACAAGAACCAACAATACTTCTTACAAATTTCCTCAGAGTTGTCATATTGTCACCAACGCATGTGGTTGTTGACCATGTGCAATATTTTTACCACACTGGAGTGTTTAGCTTTAGGAGTTGAATAATGAGGGTCTATAATGTTGGTCGAGGATAGTAGTATGATGAGAGTAAGAAGGTAGTCTGAGGGGCGAACGAGGCAACACTAATGAGGGTATCTTAGTAGTCTGGGCAGAAAGAATCGAGATGAACGATGTTAAGGTGAACAGTCTAAGGCTGAAAAAAGTGTAGAGGAGACAAATCAGAAAAAAAAAATACTCATTATCATACCATCATAATATGGATTCTCAATGATGGTCCATGATAATCAGTCCTCTCAGTGCAGAAAGAGGACTATCTCCTCTCTCTGTAAAGGAGATAGTTGCTGTTTGTAGGATTTTTGAGGTATGGGAAGGCTCGGTAGAGTGTATCGGCCAGCGGTGAGCAACGTTTCGGTGGCAGAGTTATCGGCTCGGGCTAGGGGGGTAGACCCTGTATTGGCGAGACCGTGGGTGCATGTCTATGATAATACTACGGACAGCGCACCATGGCTGAATGAGGATAATGTAGTACCGGGGTGGGAGGAAGTGACAAGAGTGTGGTATGAGATGTACTTTTAAACGACGTCATGGTGAGGGAATTTATGCGAAAAAAGGGCGCGGAAAAGTGCCGATATGAACCGACCCTATTGAGAGTAAGGAGCGTGCCATTTTCTTAAGCAAGTCACGGAGTTTTCGATTCCTCTCCCAACAGGGACAGTTTCCCTCTGAAATTAAAGCGATCGATGCCCAGTCACAGACCCAATAAGATCGATTGAGATTCACTAAATTACAATATACCGACCTCGGAACTTCCAAAAACACAAAGGGACGATTCGCCACACCAACGTAGCGGCAATTAATTTTATATTTCAGATGCAGTATGCCCGTGAACTGTTCTCTAGGAAGGTTGTGGGATACCCTTTGATAGGGTTATGGAACGTCTCGCGGAAATCAGCAAATAACGCTCATAGAACTCCTGCTGTGGTAAGGCGCTTTCTGTGGAGTGAGCGCTAGTAGAGTGAATTTAGCATTTCCTCAGCAGTGTTGGAGGAATATATGTTCGCTTTCCTCACTGACTATCGAAGTTTACGTGCGAGTTTGGGTAGAAATCAATAGGAATTTCTCAAAAAAATCCTCTCAGAATTTTCGTATTTTCACCAACACATGTAGTTGACTATGTGCATATTTTTTCACACTGGCTTTCCTCAGCGGAGCTCAGAGGTTTCCTCACTAATTATGGACGTCTACATACGAATTTCACTGGAGAAGTACAGAAATTAGCAAGAATTTCCTTACAACTTTCACACTGTCAACAACACACGTAGTTGACCATGTGCATATTTCCTCAGGTTATTTGCGGCCGATCGAATGTTGGTAAATCAACGTTGATCAACGAGATTCTCTATGGGCGTCAATTCGATGCTAATAAGTATCGAATTCGGTGGTCTTCTGATAACATAACGCACGCCCCAGTCTCCAGAAAGGCAGGGAGGACTAGGCATGTATTTCGCTTTGACCTCGGTGATAGATTGCGACTGGTGGATCTCCCTGGTACGATAGGGAATAGGTCAGCATAGGAGCTCTCGATTTGTCCTCGGCCAGGTTATGGCTTTGCTGATGTTGAAGGAAGTGTACGCGACGAGTGGGCCACGTTGATAGAAAGGTATCTCGAGGTCGCTGGAGAAGATTCAGAACAGGTCCAACGCGTGATCAGCTTGGTAGTAGCGCTATTGAGGATCGTAACTATGCCTTGATGATGGTAGGTTGACTCTAGGAGAGGCGTTAAGGGCTTGGACCGTGCCCTATGGGAGATGTTGCAGGAAAAGAAAATTCCCTTCCAGGTGAGGGCGGGTCTATTTCGATTTAACTGAGGTTTGGAATCAGTCAATTCCAGTGTGGGAGAACATGCATATAGTGAATGCGCATATGTTGGTGAAAATTCTGAAAATTTTCGTACGTGCACTTGCATAGTTGCTGAGGGAACTCCTGACCTCAGCTGGTGAGAGCGGGTATATATACTTGGTCAGGGTATGTTATATACTGTATACTACGTATATACTGTGTACTACTATATGTAGTATACTATATGTACTAGGTATATATAGGGGTGGTATATACTTCTGTCTATCAGGTTGTTCTAACAAAAGTGGATCTAGTGAGGGACGTTTACGGCCTCCATGATGTGATGGAGAATACTATAGCTTTACTACAGGTGGGCTATTTACGAGTTTCTATTAAATTATGGTAATGAGCCGTAGATGCCGTAAATGGAAATTTGTATTGTTTCTTCTTCACAGGTAAAACATGCACATGGTCAACTACATGTGCGAACGACGATAGGAAAATTTTTCGAGGAATTTATGGGAATTCTTATTGGTTTCTGTACATTTCCACCCGAATTAGTATATAAGCTCCTTTGATCAGGGAGGAAGCGAACATATATTCTTCCAACACTAGTAGGAGTGCACGTGGTCAACTACATGTGTTAGTGGCAATATGCAAATTCTGAGGGATTTCTTGCAATATGTTCTTCTACTCGAATTTGTATGTACAGTTTTAAGAGGAAACTCTTGAGCTCAGCTGAGGAAAGCGAACATGTGTTGAAAGTGTGTTCTGTTCTTATAGGAATACGATCGAGAGCTCCTATGGCCTTATGTACACTCAGTGTCTAGTTTGCACAAGCATGGAGTTAACGACTTGTTGTTGAGCCTCTCAGCTGTTGCTAGGGATTTCGAGATGGTCAATAAGGCTCGTATGGTGTCGGGTGGTAGATAGTGCATGCCGTGAAGGAGGACGTTTCCGGACCTGTTCTGTATCTTGTTGATTCATGTTGTGGATATCGCTACTATTGGGGTTGGTGAGGAGATGTGAACGATAGATGGTATGTATTAGTGTTAACCAATGTGGGAAAGTATGCATGTGTTAGTGACAATCAGAAAGAATATATATCCTCTCCTTCCTCACTAATTATGGAACTCCAGTTCAACAAGAAGAAATTTCAAAAATTACCTCCAAATTTTCATGACGGCCCTAACACATGTGCGTATTCAGCCTCGTCCGTAGTGAAAATGTGAATATGGGAATTGAAGTATCTGTGAAGCTTCACTCGAGTCGAGACTGTGGTTTTAACTCATTAGTACAGAGTTGACTTGTGCAGTAGTAGGAGTATGGCTGAGGACCAAGAGCATTCCCAGCAGCAGTGGGGAGTGAGTCCCCCTGTGTCCCTGTCGAAAGCCACGCCTAAAGATATTGCTGCTACTGATGTTATGATGAAGGTAGGTGTGATACATTCGTTGGGATCGCTTGAAATGTAGTGGTAATGATGAGCAAGTCAGCTGTTTGTTGAGTGTGGAAGTTTATGCTACTAGCACGACTGTAATTTTTTCGAGCTTTTGTTAACTGCGTAAGGTGGAGGAATGTTGTAGGTATTGGATGAGGAAGCACCTCCAGCCAGTGAGGAGGAGAGGCAGCTCCACAAAAGGGTGTTCGAACTTATGTCAAGGTATGGATCTTCCAAGTCGTTTGGTGGCATGCCTCGTGTGAGAGAATATATCTATGGTTAACTACATGTGTTAATGTTAATATGAAAATTATAAGGAAGTTTTGGGAAATTTCTGTTACCACTTATACCCGAATTTGTATGTAGTCTTCTACAATCACTGAGGAAACTCCTCGACTCAGCTGAGCACCGCTGCACATACCGGTATGCATCTCAGATTGGTCACCGAGTGGGGAAAGGAGTATGCATTCTCCACTGGTTTGAAGGAGGAGGACTGTCGTTGTGAACTGATGGCGATCGGGAGCGCTAGACTGGGCTTGCAGGACCCCTCTAGCGATATCGATTGTGTGGTGGTTGCGGCTCATAAGGTGAGGTGTCGTATGGAATCACTCGACGTTCTGATGGACATTCAAGTGGAAATTCATTTCGTGATGGTGATGTGCAGTGTGGGAGAATATGCGAATGATCAACTACATGTGTTGATGCCAATATGAAAACTCTGAGATTCTTATTGTTTCCTTGAGTCGCTTGTGAACTTCTATAACTAGGGAGGAAATCCTGAACTTAACTAAGGGAAGCGAACCCAAATTCCAACACTGGTGATGTGTGGACAGAATCGTCCTGTGTAGGTCACCCGCGATGCCTTCTTTGAGCTGTTTCCTTTGAAGCTATCAGAACTGAACGACGTGACTAACCTGAACCCAGTAAGTATACTTGCACATGTTACTGGTGTTGGGTGAGGGCAATAATACTAGAGCCTTCATCGGCTACGTGGCTGCTGATTGCTTATTGTACTTACGAATATAGATATTAACATATTAGTAATATCATGTTTCTAGACATGACATAAACAAATGAAGATCATAGTATATTCATAGAATGGAGTTTCACGAGTCGTGAATCACGACTACCCGTTTTACGTGAAGTGGCGTCGTAAAACTCGGTGAAAAACTAGGCGATATGCGCGCCCTGTAGTAGTCGTGAAACATGTTTTTCATATCACTAGGGTGAAACTCCAATAATATGATATTATGGTATAAAATTTAAGACATTATTTGGCAATATCGTGATATCAATATGATACTAATAAGAATATTATATATGTTACTTATTGGGAATATCAATACAATTATTTATTTCCACAGATAGAAACAGTGCTAACAATACCCCTCGTGGAATGTCAGGTACCCCAAGCTGCCGTTCCTGTTATCAAGATGAAGTTTATGGGCGTAGACGTGGACGTGCTCTATTGTGGCTTAGCCCATCCACTGAGTGAGTGACGACGCTCAGGGGTTTATTGCATGATTGTGTATAGGTGGACCAGCGATAGACCCAGCTGATGATAACCTGTTGTGTGGTATGGATGAGAAATCAGCACGGAGCATCAACGGTGTTCGAGTTTCTGATGCTATCAAAGCTTGCGTACCACATTTCGCCCACTTCCTAGGTAGGTGAGGGTCTGCCTGTGTTCTACCTCATGGTCCCATAGGTGCCCTGAGGGTGATCAGAGCCTGGGCTCGTAGACGTGGGATATACAGCAACGCCCTTGGGTAGGGTTGTGATCATCTTTCTTCGTGTTAGCGCACAGCGAAGATTTTTAGATACCTCGGAGGAGTCAGCTGGGCGATATTAGTAGCAAGAGTCTGTCAGCTCTTCCCCAATATGGGGCCGTCTCAGCTGGTGGTTCGATTCTTCCGTAAGGGAGGGGTTAGTCTCGAGCCTAGTGAAAGGAGTCTGAGGACCGTCCTCGGAAATTCAAATCGATTCTATTACTTATTTTTATGAACAAATCCTCACTGTAGAGGGTGGGGGGATTCGATACAATTACACTCAGCATTGTCCTGTGTGATTGTGGTTGGCTCACTATGCTCCACTTAGGTGTGTATTCACGTTGGAACTGGGATCCCTCGGAGGGTGCTGTAGTTCTACGCCACTCCGAGCAACGGAATGGGGAGGGCTTTCAGCATCATAAAGTCTGGTAGGATTTTACCGTTACCATAACTGTCACTATCCTCATAGGTGCCCTCCTCCCAAGAGGACCACCACGGACCAACCGCTGCCTCTCGCGGCCTCTCCAATGGCTGTGATAACCCCAGCGTACCCGTCCATGAACTCCACCTTTGGGGTTACTAGAATGACTATGGACACCATCAAGAAGGAACTCGAGTGAGACCTCTTGCTGTTATCGCTGAGACAGAGTGTCTTTTGCCCGGCAGGCGTGGGGCTGGAATAATATCATCTAAAGGCGTCGACTTGAGAAGTAGAGAATGCTGGGAGACGCTACTTGAGCCAATCCATTTCTTCGATTACGATCAGGGAGGGTACAAGCAGTTCCTTCAGGTGAGCTGTCTTGTGAGTAGGGAACCGCAACGAGGGTATGTAGACGTCCTCCTCATAACCACTTGTGGGTTTTCTTTCGGATTGGAAATTTATTTCAGGATTGAGTTTGGTTTTGATTGTTACTCCATTGAGTACTCACTTGTCTGTTCTGTGTGCCCTTGAGAAATGTCTGTTCAGATTGAGATCGGTGGAGCAAGTGAATTGAGCCATAAGTCCGCGGAGGGGTTGGTGAATTCCAAGTTGAAGCCTCTGTTATTGCGAAAGATGCCCGAGGTCGCTCCGGAAGATACCAACAAGGTCAGCAACGATACGATACAGCTCTTGAGCATGGGTCTATTCTGTTGGTTCTGCCTCAGGCCCCATATAGGGCGTGGACTGGTGCAGTAGCGCTCGAGGATCCCTATAAGGAGTACCCCTACTGTTCTGCATTGTTCGTGGGCCTGTCTATTCCGCCTGGAATGGATCTGCGACCAGCGGTTAGAGAATTTATGGAGCGACTGGGGATCGAACTTGCGACCCAAATGCCTGAGTACGCAGGCCTTTGCGGATTCGTGAGGTTACTAGTGTCTTTGCAGATATAAGGCTGGTGGCATGTTCGATGTGAGGGTGCGTCACGTTGCGGGTCCGTCTCTCCCAAACACTGTCAAGTGTTTGACGGCAAAAAGAAAGGCAGAGGAGGGTTTACCAGAGGACGCTGATGTTAAGGCTAAGAAAGTTCGTTCCACGTGATGCTAAGAGAATGTTGTGTTGTCACTTGCTGGGGTTAAAGTAGAACCTTCGTTTGAGGATACAGAGGGGCTCTGCGGTACGGGACGTAGGGAAATCCGTGTTGTCATTGTGGTATGTTTGTATGTTGATGTATTAGCTTTTGGGGTTGGTGTTGAGTGTATCGTCGCTCATGCGGGGAGGATGGTGACAGTAGCGATCGCCCTAGGATGCTGATGAGGAAGTGAAACGGCTAGATACGGGATCATTAGTATTGATCGATTCTAATCATTGCTGCATGGTTCATTGTTTATAGTTTTGTTCAGTGTGTGTATTCCCTCCGTAATGTTCTATCGCTTTTTGGCTCTCTCTTTCACCATCAAGCACGTTCTAGCTATGGGCAAGACCTCTGGTGACTACGAGGCCGCCACACCTGACGAGTACTGTCAGGAGTCCTGTGCTGAGACGGCTGGTTGTGAGCAGTCCTATTGCAAGGAGAATGGCCATTGCTTCGGATTGTATCATAAGGGTGGCATGAGGTGTTATCAACCCGGTGTCGAGGATAACGGTTGCAACGAGTTTTCCTACGAGCCGGTCAGATGTCACGAGTCTCCTCCGTCGCCTTGTCATGATGTCTGCTCCTCCATCGATGGTTGTAGGACCTCTGGGTTAGGGACGTACTGCAAATTCTGGTTGGACACTCCAGTATGTTATGGAATTGTTAGGAGAGATGATGGTAGCTTGTGTTTTGTGGCGACTGATGAGGCATGCGAAGGTGATCCTCACCCCTGTGGTTCCCAGATCGAGCCCCCCGTTGAAACTCCTGAGCCCCCGGTAGAGACCACCGAGGCTCCTGTCGATACCACCGAGGCTCCTGTCGATACCACCGAGGCTCCTGTCGATACCACCGAGGCTCCTGTCGATACCACCGAGGCTCCTGTTGATACCACCGAGGCTCCTGTTGATACCACCGAGGCTCCTGTCGATACCACCGAGGCTCCTGTTGATATCACCGAGGCTCCTGTCGATACCACCGAGGCTCCTGTCGATACCACCGAGGCTCCGGTCGATACCACCGAGGCTCCTGTCGATACCACCGAGGCTCCTGTCGATACCACCGAGGCTCCTGTTGATACCACCGAGGCTCCTGTCGATACCACCGAGGCTCCTGTCGAGACCACCGAGGCTCCTGTCGAGACCACCGAGGCTCCTGTTGATACCACCGAGGCTCCGGTCGATACTACTGACGCGTCAACAAACACAGGAGATCCATCTCAATCGAGCACGACCAACGTCGTTGGGGATTGGTGCGGTGACACTCCTCTTGGTCCCATGAAAGTGACCCTCAGCGAGGACGGGAGCTTGTTTCTTGTCGTGTCTGGTCAGCCGTTCACCGCTACCTATTATCTTGACGGAAATGATATCGTTATCCAGAATCCTGATCCGGCACTGCAGAGTCTTCTCACTGCGCTGGGTACTAGCCTACTCACGACGTACACGTCGGAAGGCATTCAAGTGGAACTTGTTAATATTCTATCCTCTATATTGTCTAATTGCTAAGTTCGTATTTCAGTCGTCTACGGTTTGATCTCCTTAGGTGAGGAAGGTCACCCGTAATTTTTGCTACTTTTCAATATATTATATATAAATACTGGTCGTCACTGTGGACTGAAGTGTGTGACTGCTCGTGGCAAGCTGCGTTTGCGTAATTCAATAGAAGGTTATTCGAGGATTTGGGTAACCCACAAGTTGAGATGGTGAACTCATCTAGCCTGGGACTATGCTCTCAGTACGGGTACATCATTGTGAGTAGGAGGTAGCGCATCTTCAACTATACTCCATATCATTGCCCATGTTATGTTTTCTCAGGATTGTGTTTGTATTGTACTCCTTATGAAATTCCCTGCATGCATTGTTTGTATCCTGTTAGTGTGTTGCTATGGCTCGGACCAGGATAAGGCTTGCGAGAGCATCTGTTCTGGTCTAACTGGTTGTACATCGTCGTACTGCAAGTCTTGGAAGACTCCTCCACATTGCTTCGGCATTATGATTAAGTCCGATTCTACACTGTGCTATGCTCCAGCTGATCCTAGTTGTGGAGGCGAAGGTCATCCTTGCGAAGAGCGCACTGCTACCGCACCTCCACCGGCTGGTACACCGTCGGTTGTTGGGTCTTGGTGTGGCTCGTCGCCATACCCTGGAGGAGATTTCCGCCTCACATTCGATCAGACCTCCGTTCTGCTCGATTTAGTCGGCAAGACCTTCACCGCTGATTACTCTCTCGAGGGCTCTGAGATTGTCTTCAGCAACTATGATGTAACTTTTATGCAGCTACTCCAAGCTCTGGAATCTCAACCTTATGTTGAACTCCGAGGAGATGGATTATACATCAGCTTCGACGGTGTGTTTAGTGACACGGCCGCGAGATGCTGAACAGAAAGCTAGTTTTATTATGAGAGTTTGATATACTCCGCTCCATCGTATATAACTCAGCATGCAAACGCTGTTAGCCTGGATTAAATTTCTTTAAGTCTTCAAATGCGCTTGAGTTTGTATCAGATGGGTTATGAAAACAGTGAAAGGACGTTAAGAAATGATTTGTTGGGGATATGGTATACCCCGAGAATTTTCGTGTTGAAAGAGGAATTGTTGAGTGGACAGTTCATGTGAACTGTAGTTGCTACGATATGTCGCCGCGGCAATACCGATAGTTGGTAACAGCCTTGATAGAAGTACCTTATGTATTCGAGATTAGACCGAAATTAATAGTTTATGAAGCCTCATGTTGCACATGGCTATAGCTGGAGCACTGAATTTGTTAACCACATTGTGTGAACGAGCCTTCGACGACAATACCTTCCTTTGCTGTCTCTCGCCCTCTTAGTAATCGCATGCTCAACTCGCGGTATTACGCGATCATTGAGCTACAACTAAAGAACACAACTTAGATGGCACGGCTATCAACCAGCATCGATATCACTAACATTGTTCAAGCGACACGGTTGACGGTGAGGCTACACGCCAGAAATTTGAAGATAGAAACGAATGAATGAAATAAGCAAGGAACTAAGAGGGTCCTAGTCGGGCCGATGATGTGGATCGTGAGATCCGACTTACATTTACACAGTTTGCAAATACAGGCCCGATCGCAGCTTCTCACCCAAAACTCGTTAACTCAACTCGTCCCGCCCTGCCGACTTCATCTGTGGCCATCGGACGGCCATCCTCACACAGTTGAGGATCGCACGTCAAGATGCAGACAACCAGAAACTACCGGGTGGCAGAGGATGGGCAAAAAGAGCCAGCACGCTCACCAGCAACTGATAGATGATAAAGTAAGGTATCAATAATCCTCACACTAACACTTAGGACCAGCAGCAACAACATCGCACGAAATACACAGGTTCAGAGTAACTAGCTTCGCGGGTGAGCGCGTCACGGTCCTGTTTTTGCACCACTCTACACTCCACAAGCTTCGTGTAGGGTAACAAACATTAATGGACAAAAGCTGGTCACTCGGACACATCGAAAGACAAGTCACGGAACGGATCATCCGCAGCGATATTATTCTGAGGAACAAGGGTAGTCGTGGTACTCACCAATGGGGGAAGTACCCACCTCAGTCAGTTCGCCCCTCATAGACTTCCCAAACGCCTTGGCGATCTCCTCCTGGGTGTAGCCCTTCCCCAAGAGGTAGCTGAGCTTGGTCGTAGCAGCTTCGGCGGTCATGTCTCCGGCACTGATCAAGTCGAGAGAGAGGAGTTGTGCTCCTGCCGCATAGTCAGCCAAGGCAACGGTTCCACGGACAACCTGTGAGACGGCGATGACGGGGATACCTTGCTCCTTCAACCTGGAATCAGCAGCTGAAGTCGCTGGCCAGCATGGTGCATGAACTCACTTGAGGAGCCAGTTAGTGAAATGCGGTTGATTTGAGGGAGCATTTCCGGTACCGTAGAGCAAAAGAACCACACCCTTCACATCGTTGAGATCGAGGGACTCGAGGCTGGCAAAGCCGGGCGACTGACAATGACAAACTCATCGTCCAAGCCTTCATGTGCTGCTCACCATGCGCAGGACCAACAAGGATCCCTCCATCTCTTTTTGGACCTCCAGCGGACCAGTGGGGGCTACGAGGGATGTATCCAAGAAGTTCACTCCGACGTTCATCGTAGCGAGAGCGGGGAACTTGGGGGAGTCGAAGGCCTCGATGGCTCCACTATCAACCTTAAACACAATCTATGTTAAGGCGGAGTGCAGTGCCTTCTCACCTTCACGGAACGACTTCCACGTAGAAGATGAGTTCCGAAGAATATCGATACCTCTGGAACGTTGTAAAGGCCTGACAACGACATGCTGCGTCTACGAATAGAAGTTGTAGTAGGCCCACCAGCGAGAAGGACGGAGACGATGATGTTACGACGAGCATCACTGTGGGGCTCGTCGAAAGGCAGGATAGATCCGGTTATGATGACGCTCTTAGCCAAGTTAGAGAACATGAAGGATAAGGCGCTCGAGGTATAGGACATGGTATCAGTGCCATGGAGGATGACGAATCCATCGTAGTCATCGTAGTTGTCTTCGACGGCCTGAAGTGGGCATGAGGAGACAGGTGTAAGAGGAGTTGGAGTTGGACCTTAGCCATAGCGGCCCATCCCTCAGGGGACATGTCCGAGCTGTCTATGAGGTTATCCCACTCGATGACCTGCAGGGTTGGTCAATGAACTAACTGGAGTGTTGGCGACTCACGCTGACTGATGGCATCCCAGTTGCCTGGAGCTCAGGTAAGCTGTGGATCTGACGAGTCAAATAACCAGGAACAGGATGGAGGGTTCCGTTCGCGAAGGGCTGCATGCCGATGGTGCCTCCTGTATAGATAATCAGAACCTGCGGGAAGGCTGTGGACGGGAGAGGGGAGTGCCAGCGCGATCTACCTTGCCGGGCTCATGTCGAACATTGGGAGCGAAGACCGGTCTCAGCTTTGAGTCATCACAGGTAGCTTGCTCCGTAGGCTGGAAGCAGAAGCCTTTGTCCTTATGGTAAAAACCAAAACAAGCACCGTTCTCCTTCTGGTGGGAGCTGTACTTGGAGAAACGACAGGCTGGATAGAAATCACAAAGTTGTCTGCAAAACTCAGCAGAGGCATAGCTCAGCATAACAGTGATGAAGGTAGGGAAGAAGAGCATCGTAGACCGAGCGACCAGGAAAGATCAGTGATACACAAACTGAAACAGTCTTGAACTTCACAAAACAATTGAACAATGCTAAGAGCAGTAACCGGGAGAAGTTCCAGTCTGGCCCTCGAAGTTCCTACAGTCGAATGTCCAACCGATCGCCTCGTTTGTTGAGCGCTCATCGACGTGAAACCTTACCGAGGGCTGAGTCTGCCCCATCGTGCAGGGAGTTCATAACGTATGCGTGCAACCAGGCTAGAAGTATAGCTAATGGCGTGACTGCGCAAGTACTATGAACTTGGTAGTGCTTGCTGACATATCTTGACGGCAAAGCTCTCTACTTGGCACTACTGAGTGGTGTGTGGGGATATCTACTGGACTTCTATGTATTCACTATTCACTTCTATTCTATATATGTGGACTTCTATCTGATCACTTATTTATCACAAGCCGTCTTTCAACCGTGACACACCGTGCTAGTAGTTGTGTGAGACCATTCTAACGCACAGTATCATGTCCCCGCACTAGTTTCCCTAATACCGTGTCACTTGTCAAAGTTGAACTCAACTATCAATTCGAGTGGCACAGAAATGACATGAATTAACCAAGTTATATCTTCCATAGTCGAATGAATCCGTCTCCACCTCCAGTCGCCTAAGGCAGCCGAAAACATCTCCAGAGTGCCCACAGCGACCATCTACCAGCGTGTCACCATCGACCCATCGTAGAGCCGTTACACCATCCTTATGGCAGTCGCTGAGCCTTCGCACAAGATCAGTCGTGGACATATCGAATATGCAAACCTGAGCTCCTCCTCATCATCACCCACAGTTCAAAAAATAACTTCACCATTTTGTCCAAGCCGCCTGTCACCAACCTCGTGTCACCCTCACCCCAGTCACAGGCCATAATGCGGGAAGTGTGGTATGTCCAGTGCCGAGTTGATGGGATGGTCTCCCACTCCATCGTTGAGATAACGCTAGTTGAGCCTGCTCGAGAGCTTACTTAGCGTTAACCAACACGCTTACCATCAACAGCGCCTACTGCAAGATACTTCCCATCACGCGAGAACTTCAGCATGCAGATATCGGCCTTGTGAGCAGATGTGATTGTTCTTATCTGATCAGCAACAGACTGTGGCTTCCGTCCGGAGATGGTGGAGGCACTGGAGGGAGTCTTGAGGACAACAAGAATGGATCTTCCAGGATGAATCACGAAGTATTATGCCTGGAATTTTCTCGGCAGCGACCAAGACAGAAAAAGAAGAGCAGAAGTTCCAACAGATCTTCCAACGACGACGCTACTCGCTGTGGTTACCTCCTCTCCAGCCGAGTTGTACGCATGCACAACTCGATCACTAGTCTGCTCATGCAAGGAAGATGTCGATGACTCGTAGGTGGCCACGAAGCAAGCAAGGCTTTCGCTCACTGAAACCTAAGGTTTCTTGATGCAATCCGATGCAGAGAGCACACCCGAGGCCTTCGAACTGATCCTATTTCTCAGGAAAGTGCCTGTACTGTCTTGAATAGGGAAATCTCATACTATCCTCAGCTCGCGGTGGACACCCTTTCAAGTATGGCAGATAATAGGAAAATGACTAATACTATTTCATGATATCTTCAGTGTACCATGTATGAACTGATATCTATCGTGTACTAATCAGTAGCGACCAATACCCCCATAATACTCACAACCAGTCTATAACACCCTTGCATAACCTCGATGTTTTCCGTACACTGAGTGAGCGCTCTTTACAAGATTCGACATACAAAACGAAATATGTAAATGCCGTTTATATCCTACTAGTAGAGATCTTGAGTCACTATTAATTTTCACTATTCTCATATAGTATGATGATCGAGGCGCCACTTCAACCAGTACTGTGAAGAACCCTCAAGCTTACAGCAAGGGGCTCTCGAGGTAGCTGGGCACTCCACTGTCCATCTACCGTCTCAACTCGGCACCGTTTAGCCGAGAATAGCACAGGCGAACCGCCGGTCCAGGTCGCATCCAGTAGAAGCGTTACGTCAGAAACCTGCCTCAGTAGCTTCACCAAGGGGGACAGCGCATTGTGTTGGGCCCACCACGCCCCCCTTAGCAGTAGTGTGCAACACGTTGCCGTCCTTATCTACCATCACAGGCCCCGAATCGTCCACCATCAGTCCTGCGGAGGGACGAATGCCCCTGGCTAAGCTAAGAAACCACCAAAGCTGTAGAGCTTGCAGACTTGTGTGAGCTCACCATGCAACTTGATTGCTTTCCGGTTGCCATTCGTGCAGTGTAGTGTCAGTCGAGGTCCAAAGGGTGCTGTTACTCGAGTGGCTGTGAACAACACTGCAGACCTAAACCGACCAGGGATGGTCATTTTATGAAGAGCTAGCTCGCCCCACCCTTCCACTGCTGCCAGTCAAAGTCTCGATGAGGTTCCCATCTGGCACACTCCACTTTAGCAAGCGACCGTCAAGGCATGTAGTGATAACAGCGTCCTTCCCAGCAACCTGATAGATTCGTGACCAGTAGCAGCGAACTCAGCTGACGCACAGCCATTCCTATCTGTTGGTCCCCGAGATCTTTACCGACTTCGACCTCCCAGGCCAAAGCTGCCGTGTCGGGTTTTATACGATAACAGCGAACCTTAATAGTAGGAATATGTTGGTGAAAATTCTGATCGGAAATTATTGTTGGTTGTTCTGTATTTCAACCCGGATCAGTATATGAATTCCTATGGTTAGTGAGGAAAATCCGAAGATCAGCAGCTGAGGAAAGCAAAAATATATATTCCAAAACTGAGAGTGAGAGAGAGAAACCTGTGTTACATGTTTATCAGCATATGCAACAACAACAGTATTGTCATCAGGGCACGCCAGAGAAAATGCCGTGGAGGGCAACTTGGGGAAAGCATAGAGGAAATCTCCGGTCAATCCTGAGGGATCGATCGCATTGAAGAAGACCGTATGGGCCCACCTTCGTAGACGTTTACCAGCCCGTCGCTGCCACAGGTAAGCAGGAGGTCTCCACTGGGAGTGAATGTTGCCCCCTGGACGAAGTTGGTGTGCCGCCCTGCATGTAGGAGCATGATTATTAACGTCGTGTGGGAGGATGCTTACCCGTATTGGAAATCTTGAACTTAAACGGAGGTCCTTCGTAAAAATTCACGCAGCTGTCCTCGGAGCCTGAGGTGAATTGACAACTCCTAGAGATGACAGTGTGACGAACCAGTGGCGATCTTGAATGGTCGTGATGGGCGGAAGGCGATCGCATTGACAGCTTTCTGATGCCCAGACATATCTCCTAGCTGAGACTGACCTTTCCCATAGGAGCCAATATCAGTCTCTACCTTATTTCCGGTGTCCCACATGATGCAAGCTGCTGATACCTCTCGTCCACTACCACACACGGCGATGCGTTGATTGTCGGGAGACCAGCAGATGCCCTACAAGGTGACGGATTAGGGAGAGCGCATTAGAGCACGACTAACTCTGATGTCGCCGTTCCATAGTCTGAATTCGCCTTTGTCCGCATGGTCGCCTCTGGAGCCCCAAACCTGCCGATTTGTGGTAGTGATGGTAGACCGGAGAAATACTCACCCTCAAAATGCCAGAGTTGTCCCCACTGGCGACCCAATGACCATTGGGGGAGATCGCGACTGCTTGTACTCGCTTGCCCGCGTGAGCAGTATACATGAACTGATAACCGTAGCAGGCACACAGTTTAGATGCGGCTACCACATCAGCAGAGTCGTGGAAATTACGCAAGATTACGTTGTTGCCCGATGGATATCTGAGGTTAGCATTTGTTCAGATATGATGTCACCCGATTCACGACTGACGCTATTCTGTTGAGGTCTGTTGGGTCTACTGAGATGTTCATGGGGAAGCCTCGCTCAGGAGAGGGCAGAGGTGGACAACATGCGTACATAGACATTGCACTTAAACAAGTGAAACTTTGTCCACCAGTGTACGTAGTACCAACACACACTGTGTTAGTCTATCACTTGAGAGAAGCAGCGAGGCTGAGGCGTAAAACATGTACCGAGTGCATCAGATGGAAATCCACGAGTCGATAGAATGTTGCGGTAGGCGGACGCGCGTACGCAAAAACATCCTTGCGCACGCGTACGAAGGACTCACCACTGACACTATACGATTATACGACTCCACTCCAATTTCTTTGGGCTATAGCTCCCATAGCCAGTCGAGTGCATACGTTGCAGTCAGTCAATTGGAGTTCCACCTGTTTTACACGTGAAAGTTTTACAGTAAAACCGTTTTCCGTGAAAAATGTGACATGTGTGAGAACACAACATCGCGTCGCGATGCACTTTTGAGACGCATTATCGCGGGAAATGCTATCGCAAACAACAACAATAGTAGTCCAACGCCAACTAAAGTCGCTTTTGCAGCAGGTAAGTCCTAAATCGATCTTAGATAGCATGATCGCAGCCTTAAACCCGATAACTCTGTTGTTGGTTGTATCAGCGTGGCTAGCACTCCGCGAGAAACACCCCGGCACACTGGCGAATCTTGTAAGATGCCGCTGCATCACTGTCGCTGTCCTAGTCCCCCGTAGCACACAATATGTCTCTCTAGGGTGAAAGAATCCCTTAGCCAAGCTTATGATGAAGATAGTTCTCCACGGCTAAGTATAATCCGGCCTTGCATGGCATTGTCCTGCAATGGGCCTGTTTCACAAGGACACTTAATTTAAGGCGCCTTAAATTTAGGAGCAACTTAAGGATTTACTTAAGGTATACTTAAGGCGTTACTTAAGTTAAGGCGCGACTTGCTCCTATGAAACAGGCCCAATTACGAATTCTGCAATTACGAACATCGAGAAATTTCCGTGATAGTCATGAATACAGCGAGAGGCAACATAGCTCTTTCAACTCTCTGTAGTATGCCCTGAAATCGACGCCATCCACCTTATGAATTCATATACGGAATGGAGCAATGCTGTCGTACCCTAACAACGCCAGGAAACCGTTGTAGACCATCAAATTTCGATGTCTAACAACACCACTGATCTGGCCGGTTGCCATGGTTATTCGAGAGCTAGCGCGACGCCTCCTCGAACCCTGCCTTGTCATCTCGACCCGCGAAAAGTGTTAATAAACCAAATCGAACGCAATCCAATTCTCTCTAGTGAAAATGAGTATTGCACTATATGGCGAGGTGAGACTGTCACCATGGACGTCACACGGAGCATCAGAATTGTTGACGGAATCGATGTCTCAATCACTGGTCCCGAGCCAACAGGCTTCTTGCCAAGTCTCCACTCTATTGAAGTAAGTATTGACTAATGCGATTAAGCCTCTTCCAGGGCTGTAGCTCAACTGCTGGGCTTGCCCGACATAGCATACTTTCTCTACTCGGAAATCATCATGAAGATTGACCCGATAGAGGTGCTCGTCAAGAGCACTACTAACGTAAAGGCATCTCCCTTGTAGACCCAGAGAGAGCCCCCGAGGTCTAGGGATGGTTCTTGTTATCACGCACCAAGTAGCAGACAGACCACCAGAGCTGTTCCAGCATAGTATAGTGCTGTCAAGCATGTTCACAATGAATACCACTCCATCGAGAACTGCAAACTCATATGAGATTAACGGCAATCCTCGCATGGGAGGTGACCGAAGAACTTCACCGTTGACCAGGTCGGCTCGGATGATACGTTTGTTGTCTCTGTCGCTAAGGTAGAGGAGTTTCCCTTTCTCGGACGCGACCTTCGGGATGCATCGACCCAAAGAGGCCTCCAGGGCAAGCTGATCTCGGAGGTTCACAGGCTGCGGTGTTTTGTATTCCAACAATAACAATCTACTGTTGCTGAGAGAAACCACCAGTCCGTTTTGGACGCCGCATGCGCTCAGCACTTCACAATTGGTCTTCCATGCGAACTCGGGGAACTGGCCGAGTTGACGCAAGCCCACCACGCAGGGACTTCTCGATATTATCAAATTATTATATTCGAATGATATACTTACAGAATCACCAGAGCGGAAGTAAGCTTCTGGTTGGTTGGTTTTCAGCAAGGTTGGCGAGGGCTCCAAAAAGGACCAGAGCTCGTTGCACAGATCGAAAGGCAATGATGATGTGAACGTCGAGGCAGCGGCAAGACTGACAATTACGTCGAAGTTGCGACTAAGAGTTTTACCACAATTACGTTGAGGGAATGCAGAAGGGGCCATGGAAAACCACAACTAGGCCACTTCGATGATCATTCCGTACACTGTATATGATCGCTTTCCTCAGCTAAGTTCAGGAGCCGATTAAAGTGCTCCTATTTCCGAGTCCAAGTTCTCCGACAAGCGGCTCTTCCGAGCTCGGATAAAAACTACGAATTAAAGTGCGTTCGAAATTCCGAGCTTTTTTCTGAGCTCGGAATTAGTGTTACCCGTCTCCGAGGAAAGCGGAAAAGGAGTTTCCTCACTAATTATACAAGTTTACATACGACGAATTCGGGTAAAAGTGTACAGAAACCAATAAGAATTTCCCCAAAATTTCCACAAATGTCAACTACACATGTTGTTAACTATGTGCATATTCCCTCACCCCGATTTCGTATGAATCCGAGCCAACTTGATAAATCATGAGTAGGTAACCAAGCCCTTTTCTCAGTAACGACCAGAGACAGTCTCATCGAGCCTTCCTACAGTTGGAAGAGTACCGCCTTATGCATTCGATTCATTGCAACACTCTCTTAGTGTCTATTGAGCAATTTCGCCAGGGCAATTCGAAACGTTCAGAAGTTGGGACCGATTTCCACACTGTTGATGCTGGTTATCAAACTATCAGAGTTACGGTATGAATCACGAATTGTGAATTGTACAGTTCTTCTGTTGATAAGATGATCCAACAATCGTTCTCTAGTGGCCGAGGTCCTTCAAATTTCACCAGGGGCCTATTCAAATGCTTTTCCTTTTCGGGTTCCGAGTGCGAGGAGCATTTTCCGAGACATCATCCATTCAAGTGCTCGGGTTGATTTTACGAGTATATTCCCCGACTCCCGAGTACGGGTCATATTTCCAACTTTTCAAGTGCACCTCTCCTTGAATTTTCCGAACCTCTCATTCGGGAGGTAGTCCAACAGTAGAATCATTATTTTATTATTACAGTTATTGATCACATTTCTATTGGCAGCTTTCGTTCATAATATTTCAATGATCATTTGCACAAGTGGAATTTACATCAGATCGTTTCACTAGTCGACCTGGACGCTGTAAATGTCCTCGAGTCGCTCACACTCACCCTTAAGCTCAAAACTCTTGAACTATGACATAAGTTTCGTGAGTAAGACAAGTAACGACATTAACTCTTATTGTCGTTCTTATGGGTTTACATAAGATCACGGTAAGGCCCGATCAATCATCGATCGAGTTGAGACTGGGATAATCCTGATCATCGATCAGCCCTCATCAGATGCGTTAGACTTGCGTTAGAACACTATAGCAAGGGTGAACTACTGCTACACAAGTCTCTATGGAGATCGAGGAAACAATTTGACAGTATACTACAGCAAATGGAGATGCAATTATAATTATGGTAAAGACTCGATTGACAAAGCTCTAGACGTTTGTCGGTTCATGATCGCTTTGGGGATTCCGAAGACCTGATGGCATCATCGAGTAACTGACATTTCCAATTCGAAAATTACATTCTCGCGAGGCTGCAAGTTGTCATGAACGACAGGTACGTATCTGAATAACCAAAATTCGCTCAGTTTTCGTGAGACCAGTTGCTGCTTCTTTACGTGTCAAGATGAGTCTTGGGGGTCACAAGTTTAGCGCAGAAGTAGATGCTGTAGAATAGCATGGAAACACCGGCTAACGCGAGGAGGACCATCTGAGGAGTATGAGATTCACTCGAGTCGCATGAAAGAGCAAATTCGAGAGAACTAACGCCCCACCATTATTCTGAGGACCGCCGAGTCTCTGCCGGGCTCTACGACGTAGCTCTCCCAAGCGGATAAGGCTGCAGATTGGCCAAAATGAATATCCTGAGGAATAAACAATCGCAAGTGTGAACTTAGTTTTAATCATAGATTGCATTTTCAGAATTAATTCTGAGTTCCCGAATGAATTTACTCGACAATGGATAAGAAGAACGCTTACCTCGGAATCATCTATCGCCACTTAACTGCTATCGGGTCGATAAGGGTGCCACTCACACGGTCCAGCAATACAACGTAAAACAAGACAGCAATAGCATGTTTAGAGATGCAGTATAAAATCTGAATCGAACTCGTTATGGTGGCATACAATGCAATGAGAACTCATAAGCTTCCTTGAGGTATTTATCCAACCGGGACCCGAAAAAGAGCGAGTGATCACTCATCGCTCTCTCGTGGATTTCTTTTAGTGGACACTAAATTATACACGTTTGATATGGTAGATTGTACGAGCCATAGGTGAAACGTTTATCAACTCTATCCAGTCAATGAGATCCCCTAAGCTTCTTTGAGGTATTTACCCAAGCGGGACCCAAAAAAGGGAGTGTGATCACTCATCGCTCACTCCACCTTATGGATGGACCACGCTGAGCTCCGCTGAGCTCGTCCAAGTCGCACTCGCATGATCTGACTTTGACAACGTGTCCAGATTTGCGACAATCTTGAACATCTTGAACAATCTTGGATTTCCTCAACGGAAAGTCAAGTTGAATTACTAGAGTATTGAGCTGTTTGGTATTATTATGTCGGATCCATGGAAACTTCAAGTTGTGTGGCAACGTCTGATCGAGAAAGAGACGATGCAGTATGCCACTTTTGCTGAGCAGCAGCGGAGGCAGCAGCAGGAAGAAGTAATACCCTTGAAAATAGAGTGATTTGTGGTGGAGTGGTATGATTCGCGGTTGTAGTAGGGGCGACGCGGGTTCTATTCTGGGCCTCGTCGTTTAAGTCGTAATTGTGCCATATTTTCGATCCTCCCAAATTACAACTGCTCGACATAATGTATAGAAATAAATTGAACACACCCGGGAGGTTCAATGAGCTTCTCATCTGAGTTCCAAAAAGTGTCGTTGAATTCACCCCTACTCTTAAAAAGGCTCTACTGGCCTTCCTCATCGTGTCGTTTTCAGGCCGCTGCTGAGGCTGCTCTGCTCGGTGTAGCTTGTCAGAGTGCACAAACAGATGAGGATCTCTCGGAGGAACCATCACTGCGGAAATACAAAAGTAGGATTTTCTATTTCTGTCAAGTCTATGGCGAATTCTTCTGTCTGCCTCGTTTGGCCGTGGTCAGTTTTCTACAGTGGGAAAGTGTCAAATACTACTGATAATAATAACAGTAATTTCGTCGATTACAGTATACTGAGCGGTGATTTACTGTTCACACCTCCAGCGCCTCTCTACCAGCCTTACGTTACGACTTGATAGTGTTCTCCCTAGGTCGCAAGCAGCGTAGGTCTGCGGCTAAGTCGGATGCCACTCTGAAGGACCGGGTGAGCACTACGATCCTCTCACGCCTCCACTGTTACTATGGCAGATAAACCAGTTACCCATCGCATGCAGTAGCACAGGGACTCTGCAGCACCAGCAGAAGTAGTTCCCACTATGATGAGTTTGTTGCCCTTTGAACTCGATCAGACCAAAGCTTATCGTTGCCGAGAGCGACTCGGCTGTTGTTGAGGACCGGGGGTATCGACACGGCTTAGTGAAACAATTCCACACTAGGAATCCCCATGGTGGATTTTACACCAGTTGAAGTTGTGCATGTATGTTAATGTGCGATCGAGCGGCTGTTGTTGTTGTGTGATGTAGTCTTTAATAAAGAGTTGTTGGAGTTATTCCTGTTATGCTGGGATGGCTGGTCCCGTCGATGTCCTCAACGTTGGCGACCTTCTCGACCACGGCTGGGGTAGCGGGGGTGTCGGCAACAGGTAGTGATGGAGAAGGAGGAGGGGCCTGTTCAACGTCGTTAATTGAAGTTGGCATTTCATTGGGATTGAAATCAGTCGGGGAAAAGTTGACAAAATGTTTTTTCTCAAATATGTAGGTATTCAATAAAACGAATCGGTAAAAAGTTGAAAAGGGTGACTTTTTTCGGAAAGAAGTGGGAAAATCATCAAAAAACTCGGGCAATTCCTCAGAAGCAGTTGGTAAAAAGTTAAAAAAAGTTTACGAAAAAAAGGTTAAATTATTGAAAATTCGGAAAATTCATAGCATTTTATCGGCTGAAAGTTGGAAAGGATTTTTTTTTCAAAAAAATGGGGTAAATTATTGTTCTTTCGGGCACTCCTTGGAAGGCTGCAATTCTTTCTCACGGGTGAATGATGATTGCGTTCGGAGAATTCATGAGCTGGAATTTTCCACTGCCTGTTCTTGGGTCACATTTCCGATCTGAAATTGGAAATCGGATATTTTACCTCCTTTCGAGACTCCCTTGATCAGGCTCGTACGTATCCATCGAAGACCCCAGTATATGTGGTAGAGTAGGGGAGTTTGTGTTACTAGTATACGTTCTATTCCAGACTATCATTCTTTGCTGGTCACACGCTGAGGGGTAGTTGGAATCGACTGATGCAGTGGAGGAAAGCGACAGGCTGAGGGGTAGCAGAGGGGGACGAGCGGTAGTAGTAGTTTTCAAAGATGTCGATGTTAGAATTTATCAGCACGCATGTAGGGACAGAAAGTCTGGCGTAGGTTTATTGGGCGAATTTCTGTAGGGTATGGTAGGGAATAGATGCGGGAATAGTTACATCTATGGAAAATTCATGGTTTTCATTGTAAATTCTGTATGTATGCCGAGTACTGCAATTTGTCTTTATTGTCTATGTCTATGCATTCGTAGACGACTGATGGTGTAAAGGTACGAGAAACAGCAAGACCCTAGAAATTACTTCGTATTTTCTTTATAACGGGGTAAATTTCGGGGAAAATTTGTGCATTTTTTCCCGCACCGTGAATGGTTTGGCAATATGACAATTCCATTGAGGCTATATTGAACTCAATTCTAGGCAGGTGTATGTAGTGTACAATCTCGTTGTATACAGTACTCTGAATGCCACAGGGTTTTCCGATTTACTACTTGGGTGTAATTGTTGCTATCGTCAGTTTCCTGTACAGAGCTTAGTAGTCGGGCATCAGTGTTGAACGCGACACTGGCAAGGGACGCAGAGATGTTGGAGAGGATGGTGGATTATGTTGGCGGAAGAGGGGTGGATGAGGTGCTGTGGTAGGGAAGGGCGTGGGTTCGAATCCCGAGGGGTGCATTTTTAGAATGGCACAGCTTTGTTGAACGAACAAGAGCAAGTAGTGAAGTGGAAGAAGGAAGAGTTGGGCGTTTTATTACGGGGCGCTGATTCATGTTATGAGAAGGCGGCCGAGTGGGAGGAGGTAGAAGTGGTGGAAATGGGCTCTTGAGGCGTTTTAGTTTCGATGCACGCAAAAATTATTTTTTATTGTTGTTTGGGAAGGACGATTAATATGGAGATAATTGTCTTGAATCTTGAAAGCAAGTCTCTCAAACCCGATGTGATAATTTTTCCCATTTTTGGCATCCAACGATTATCGTCTAGGTACGTGAAGCTGTGGTGACACGGTTGCGGCGACAAGAGGTGTCACCATGGAAGATACAGGACTTCCTAGCCATTACATATCTCCATCTTCTAGTGGATGTTTACTATGCGGACGCGTATTCAGAGGCTCTGCTCGGCCGCTATCACCACCCGTTCCGGCATTATAAGTAGGTGACCGAATGGAGTTTTCGAGCGGCTTGGAATGCGCAAAAACGTTGGTGAAAAAGTCCCTTTTTCGGAGTAAATTACCCAATTTTGATTTGGCCACGAGAGTAAGGCAGTAGTAACGTGCGATCTACTCCTTCTGCTCTTGTCGCATCGGTGAAGCCTAAATATGATGAAAGCTATTTAGTTGTTACGAGCACTGGAAGGGGTCGTAAGGCTTTGTTTTTAGTGACAGTATATGTATAATGGGAATCTTGTGGTTGACATGAAAAGATTCATTTTAGGTTCACATCTGAGCTTTTATCAAAGCATATACGTAAAGCGTCGATGCCTATCCTAGCTTGTGAGCCTCCAAGTGAAGTATGTCTAGACTGGCCAGAAATGATGCCAACTTCAGTCGTTGCTGGTGTTGCTGCTGCTACTACTTCTAGTAGGCTTGCCATTGCTCTAGTACGTTGATGAAAGTATAGTGCTGTTTTAGATGCTGGAGTGGCGACCTCAGCGGGCGCGACTGCCTCTCTACTGCTACTCAACGACTACGGTTTCTTACCCTACTCCCGACCGACTGCTTTCCACGCGGCGCTCATCCAAGCGTTGATACTCGTTGTTATCCTATATGGTGTACAGTATATCGTATCTCGGCTACTTATTATCATCAAGATGGCATTAGTTCGCTCAGTGGGTGGTGGGGATACTCGGAGGAAGCTCCCGGTGGAATCTGCGGTGACTACTTTGCATGGTATGTCGGCAGTTTGGAGAGTCTTTTCGCCGGGGTCGGTTTCAATTGCGATACGATCACGCGAGGAGCCTGCTTGTGTGTTCTGGTCATTGTTGTCTATTAGAGTGGTGGTGGTCCTGTTGGTCTACATAGCGTCGTTTGCGGTTACTGGTGGCGTTGATAACGTCGCTTTAGGAGTGATAAGGCCCCCGACGTGCCCTACACAGTGGAGAGGCCAGCACGTGTTGTTGTCGTGGTTGATCGGTGTTGGTCGGACAAGTACTCCATTGCTCTTTGCAACGATGATGTTGCTGTGGTTGCAAGCGGGGTTAATTTTGGGGCGCGCGGTCAGGCCGATTTCAGCAGGTGGTGATCTGAGGGCGTTGCAATTCGTTGAAAAGGAGAAGGAGTTGAAGACGATTGAGCGACACGTTATTAAGACTTGGATAACACAATATCGTCTGAGTCGGTCGGTTCACCCGAAATCTCGAGACTTAGCGAAGCGAAGCGTTGCACGATTACCGAATTTTGGTGGTCTGGAGAAGCTCTCATCGAATGCACTGTTGAGAATTTGTCATGGTTTGAGCGTTTATAAAATTTCACTATCAACAGCGGAGCGAAGGGATTTATGTCACCTTTTGCTAAGTCATAGGGACATTGCTGGAAGGCTGGAATTGGCTCGGCAGATGCGCGCGACGGTCGAGCCGATTGATGAAGATTTGTTATATACAAATTCTGCGGTGGATTACCTCAGAGTCACTGAGTGGTCATTGTGGCCAGGGGGACGGTCTGGGGCGCGCGCTTTTGCATTGGCGGTAGCGGCAGTGGCTGTGGCGGTATATTGGGGTAAGATTGGTGTGTAGATGGGTATGTGGTGTATAATTGATAATGTAGTAGGTTGTGGGTAGGTCCCGGGTTCGATCCCTGGTGCCGGCATTTCTCTGTAATTATCCATGCTTGAGATTTGAGGGTATGCATTCTCTTGATTTTGGTTCATCTAATTGGGGGATATCTTGAGGTTGAGCGCGCAAGATACGAATCAGGTCGGAAAGATGCCTCCTTCTGCAATGTTGTGCCTTCGTCCCCACAAACCTCTCTTCACTGCACAGCTTCGAAAATTCGCATCATCAACGCTTAGCGGAGCGACGCAGAAGCAGATGAATATCACTGATTGGGTGGCTGAGGTAATGTCCTTAATTTTGTGGCGCGTGACGGTGTGCATCAGGTCCGACAGTCTGCTCAGGAAGGTGTGGTAGATGTGGAATATTGGCGAAGCGTTTTACGGAATATCCGAGGGCCCTTGGCAGATAAACTCAGTGTAACAGGAAAGATCTACATAATCGTGCGTGAAAAATTCACATCCTCATGGTCGAGGGTATTGAATATATCCCCTCTGCCGCTCAGGTACATCAATGCGCCGTCTTACTACACGTCCTTGCCACTACTGGGCAGGCCGAATTTGAATGCATGACTTTGGTAAGGTTGGTGGAATCGGGTTTTCGGGGTTCGGGTTTCGGGTTTCTGGGAGATGCATTCTGTATGGGAATGAGTTGATATTCCGACTGCATACGTGAATCACGACTGTTTTGTGGTAGGGCGGTGACCATCCTGAGTTTATTTCTTTCTTTTTATACCGCACCTTCGACTTCTCACATCATCACCATAGGCAGAACGCTACTCTGGTTCGGCATAGATATGATACTGAGAATATTAGAATTTGAAATTAAGGAGAGTGTAATTAGCGAGACGATCGAGCTGACTCACTGCCACACGGCACTGCGATATGACAACACGTTAAGACGTTACTAGTAGAGCATGATGGTGATGGTACATGAGTTTGGTATAGAGTCGTTGTCCCTTATTGTCAGTTGAATGGGCGAATACTCATGGAGTTGGAAGGTATGGGGTCGAAGAAGGAGGAGGAGGAAGGTAAATTGGGTCGGACGGTGATTTTCCCCGGGTAAAAACGTTCGACTAACTCAGCCGAATCACGGTAGCGATTAAGTCAGCCGATAACTGCTGCTATGAGGGTATTTATATACTATTGTGAAATCCGGTCCATCGACGATGGACTACGGAGTAACTTTCTGCCCCAACCCGCAACCGTTGAGGAAAGTGGAGAGTAGGGGAGACAAAATAGCAAATTGTGTCATAGTGTCTCCGCTGCTCTCCACCACCCGGAAGTTGACGAATATATCTCCCTGTCACTTTCATGGCGAACGATGGTATAGGAGGGTCCTACTATGAGCACATAATTTCCGAGTAGAACTCTATAGAGGGTATGGTCACATTGAGCAACAATTGAATAGCTAAGTACATGTATAAATCTGGTTTCAGTTGAGCTGTCAAGTTCATGCATCTCGGTGTCGGATTGTCGTCTTATCGTACGGGCTAGTGGACAGTCGAGGATGTACGATAGTCAAGTATTGGAGTTTGTTGGTGAGGGAGGAGGTCTCGGGTTCGATCCCCGGTCGCGGCATTTTTCTCGTCATTTTAGCTGGTGTATTGGTGTCGAGACTGAATGAACTCCATGCTGGCCAGCTTGTGAGTGTGTTGGAGTCATATGGACGCTTACCACGACTGAGGCCGTCGGAGGAGGAGAAGGAGGAGACGAGCAACGTATTTTGCTGGTGTTGGTGGAATATATGTTCGCTCTCCTCAGCTGAGCTTTGGAGTTTCCTCACTAGTTTCAGGAGTGTATATACGAATTCGGGTAGAGATGTACAGAAATCAATGAAAATTTCCCCAAAATTTCCTCTCAGAATTTTTATATTGTCACCAACATACACCCGTCCACATATTCTTAGCATATCCGGTTTTTTCGGCTCATGCACAGCCACCACAACGAGTATCATCTGCCCTGAAACTTG